CTCCATCCCTCCACTTAAGGTTCACCCTCTATTATCACCAACCAAGTGATCAAAAGTACGTCCAGTACTCCAAAATTATTCGGCTGCTTGCCGTTATTATCACCAACTAGGTGATCAAAAGTACGTCCAGTACTCTAAAATCATTCGGCAGCCTGCCGTTATTATCACCAACCAGGTGATCAAAAGTACATCCAGTACTCCAAAATTATTCGGTAGCCTGCCGCTATTATCACCAACTAGGTGATCAAAAGTACGTCCAGTACTCCAAAAAATCATACATGAGCATTACTCATGTCAATCATACATAAACATTCATGAGCATCCTTCTTCACAACATCATGAGCATCACTCATGTCAATCAGCTTCGAAAGCTTCATTTACAGAGCTCTAGCTTCGAAAGCTTCTTTACAGAGCTCTAGCTTCAAAAGCTTCATTTACAAAAGCTCCAGCTTCGAAAGCTTCATTTACAAAGCTCCACTTTCAAAGATTCACCTACAAAGCCTTAGTGCATGGTATACAAAGCTCGCCTCCGAACAACCGCCACTTCGGCCCATATATGGATTAAATTTGAAGTCTCCAGCCAACATACTCCATTGATTGAAGACTTGAGGGACTACACTATGTACCATATATTTGGCTTCCGCAACTGGGCCTCATGAAAAATACTTGGGGGACTTAGCCCATCAATTATGTATTGAGGAGCGAACCCTTATTCTATAAAAGGGACTCCCTTACTTTCATTAGAGAGCGCCCATTATTCATGTATTGAGGAGCGAACCCTTATTTTGTAAAAGGAGCTCCCTCACCTTCATTAGAGAGAGACTCTTAGTTTATCACTTATATATTGAGAAGCGAACCCTTATTCTATAAAAGGGACTCCCTTACCATTATTAGAAGCATCGCCACCTGCTGAGCAACCGCCTCGCCGCGAGCATCACTCTTAACCCATCACTTATGTATTGAGGAGTGAGCCCTTATTCTATAAAAGGGACTCCCTCACCATCATTATAGAGCATCGCCGCTTGCTGAGCAACCGCCTCGTCGCGAACATCAACTCTAGCTCATCATTTATGTATTGAAGAGCAAGCCCTTATTCTAAAAAGAGACTCCCTCATCTTTAATGCCACAAGCTGAGCCAACCAAGGCAACATAAGCCACAAGCCGAGTAGCTTTGCAACATGTGCTACTTCTAGTTAATCATCAATTCACATTGAGCACCGTCTCATATCAAGTATTCAGTTCTAGACGACATCTAGTTACTTCGGCCCACACATGGACTGAATTTCAAGTCTCCGACCAAAAGACTCTCTTGACTGAAGACTTGGGGGACTACTGTTTATACCATACTTAAAGCCTCCGTATTTAGATCTCGTATAAATACTCGAGGGACTCAAATGTAATTATGTAACAAATGAAGGGGCAAATATGTCATAAGTGAGGATCTCTTATTCTATAAAAGGGCTCCGCACTCTCCTTATTAGAGGAGGTCAAGTTTTAGGCCATGGGAAGAGAGCATTGAAAATAGGCTAGAGAGCACACTGCCTCTAGCCTTCTTGTATATTCACCATTCAGAGTGAAACAATATCAACATCAGTGTGGACGTAGCCCAAACATTGGGGTGAACCACGATACATCTTATGTTCTTTACTTTCTTGCAGATTTACGGTCGGATTTACGTTGGTTCAAAACCCCTCCGGTTTTCTGCATCAACGAGGAATTTGAAAAATCTTATAAGCAAAAACCTTGATTTGAGTTGGGTAATTAGGGTATTTAGAATGGGAATGAAACTCTGTAATTAAATGTGGATTATGAGAAGACAGAAGAAGATGAGGCAATGAGTGAGGTTCGACGGATTGGGGAAAGAGGTGTTGGGTTAAGGATTGAAGGGGTGGGCCTACTTTTTTTATTTTTGTTATTTGTTTGAATTTTTATTTTTTGTTTTTTTATGATTTTTTCTTTAATAATTATCAGTAAGGTGGACACGGTTTGGTTTGGTGTGGTTTTGAGTGAAACCGAAACTAAAACACAACTTTTTACGGTACGGTTCGGCGCGGTTTTGAAGTCAAAACCAAAATGAAACCAAACTGTTTGGTTTGGTTTGATGCGGTTTCAAACGGTTTTGGTTTTGTTTTTTAGAAAAAAAAATCTACAATTTAAAATTTATACTTATCTACACATACACCCACATGAGAATTCTTTTCTTTACTCTAGCTAGCTAATTGCACATGATAAATTGTTGCACATGTGATAAACTCTGTGAGCAGGAAAAAGTACCCAAATGAAGTGGTGCAGTTTATTACTTGATTAGAGATTCGGTCTTTGTATTTCTCCTTTTGTGACTACTTTTATTTGATGCTCATTGTTCCTTTTGAGTTTTCATTTGCATTTCTGATTAGTATATTATATAGGCTGTCATTCTGAACTTGAAAATTGGAGTTCTAAGGGATATAACTGTGACAAAGCTTTCATCTTTTCTTGTAAAGAAACATTGAGATGCCAAGCTTGATGAGGGATATAACTTGGAAAAAAATAATCATTATTATGACATGTACATTCTAAATGTATGGACTCTAACAAACAACTAATTAAAACATGACATATAACTTGAGGTGCGGTTTCGGTTTCGGTGCGGTTTTCAAAAGCCAAAACCAAAACCAAACCGTTTCCTACAATGCAGTTTAGTTTCAAAACCGCAAAATCAAATCGTTCGGTGCGGTCCGATTTCGTTCGTGTTTCCGTTTCGGTTTTCGGTTTCCAATGCCCACCCCTAATTATCAGCATAAATGTGGGTCTCAATCTTGCCAAATCAATATTTAACGGTCAAACAAACGGATTGACTAGCAGATGTATGAAATAAATAATAAGTAAATGTATAAGATTGAAATGTTTTAAACATGTTGTATGAGGTTGCAATGCTTAGGGGGTAAACAGTAATTTACCCAAATAAAAACTTGAGGCTCCAGTGCGTTTTCGACTCCAGCGTCTCCTCTCCTGCTTCCTGTGCTCCTGCCTCCACTTCTCCCTCAGTCGGTCAGTCCCTCTCCATCTTTGAGCTTCCTTGGACGGCTGGAATTTTCCATCTCCATCTGCAAGACTCTAATTTTTTCTTCTTCTTTCCTTTTCTTTTACTCTTGTTCGTATCATAATTCAATTTATATGATTGTTTGCAAATTCTAATTTAGGGATTTAGGAGTTGGGGTTTTTTTGAATCGATAGGTGTGCTTTATTTGTAATTTGTAAAGAATCTGATTTTTAATTCCATGATAACTGATGGGATTGTTATCTAATTGATGTATCATGTTTGAATTCTATCGGCAGCTCAGTAAGCTTTTTCCCGAATTCTAATTGATTATCAGACTAAGCTTGCAGATTTGGGGTTTTCAGGTCAGTAAGCTCTCTATTCAAAAGTATTGTGATAGTCAATTACTAGTAGTAATCGAAATCAAAATCCCAAGCCAAGAAAAGAGCAACTCAACAGTCTTCTCCGTGTGTACTCAGTTCATGTTTATTTGTTTTCTTGTTTTTGTCTATAAGTTTGTATGCGTTTTGAGGGGTATAGCTCATTGTGTTGACTAGTTGTATGTTCTTTTGCTGGTCATTGAAATTTACTCATACTGTCGAATTTTGTTCTTGTATAATTGGGCAAGTATGTTGGCTTAAAAGTTAGCCCTATGAAGTTTTAAATCCTGGTTCTGTGTTCATGTTATATGTAGTTATAAGTGGAGATGGGGTTGCTAGTATGGAATGTCTTGATGAGACATAAAATTCTTTGTGTGGATTTAAATTTGCTGATAAGGATATGATATACTTGCATTTTTCGCAAGTAGTAAAGATGGTTAGCTCTTTTAAGAAAATATCTTATTAAACTGATGCGCAAAACAATTCTGATTTACATCATAGCTATCCTTCTTCTTTTCAGGCGGTCGGTCCTCAAGCTTTAGATCCTAACTCATCTGAATCAAGTTTTAAATGCAATTTGAGGATATTGTGTTACTTTTGGAAATAGAGTAGTCATCTGTTTGTTAAAGGAACCACCGTTGAGATTTGATGAATGGTGCTTCAGCATCTAGTAGCTTAAGAGCAGCTTTCTCATACTGTGTGCAGCAAGTCCGTAGTTATGATTATCATAACTATCTTTGCCTCCTCGAACTCCCGCCTCACATGCGGAAGGTTGCATTTGCAGTCCGTGCCTTAAATGTTGAAACAGCTCGTGCTATGGATGTTGCTTCTGATCCCAGGGTTGGTCTTATGCGCCTTGTCTGGTGGCAAGAAGCCATAGATAAGATCTATGCTAACAAGTTAATTGAGCACCCAACAGCTCAAGCCCTGTTGTCAGTGGTACACGAGTACAAAATTAGCAAGGGATGGCTAAAACGGTCTGTAGAAGCTCGGATCAATGATGCAAGAAAGGAGGTTGGTGACACCCCAGAGAAAATTGAAGACTTGGAGAAATATGCTGAAGATACAGTATCGACTATTCTTTACGTGACACTTCAAGCTGGTGGTGTCAACTCCACTGCAGCTGATCATGCAGCATCGCATATTGGTAAAGCAAATGGGCTTCTTTTGCTGATTAAGTCACTGCCATACCATGGTAGCCGCAACAGACATTTTTCTTACATACCAATCAAAGTGGCAGCCAAGCATGGATTGTTGGTTAAGCATGGAGGTCAATCGGAGATTCATTTGGACTCTCGTGAGGGCTTATGTGAAGCTGTTTTTGAGATGGCATCAGTAGCTAATGTCCATTTGCAGAAGGCTCGTGACTTAGCTGGTACAGTACCTGTAGAGGCTCGCCCGGTGCTGCTGCCGGCGGTGCCTGCCCAGGTTCTTTTGGACTCACTGAGACAAGTGAATTTTGATGTGTTTGATCCAAAGTTGGCAAGAGGGATTCATGGCATTCCTCCTTTGTGGTATCAGTTGAAATTAAAGTGGCATTCGTGGAGGGGAAAATACTGAAAGAAATTGCATTTCGCGTACGAGAGTTCTGCTACGGATTATATTCCTTCTCAAGAAGAAACTAGTATACTCATGAGTCCTTGCTAACCAACCTTTCAAGGTACTTTTGACTCTACGTTGTGCTAGTAAATGGGAACGCACTGTGATATTTTTTTTCTTAAATTGTTGATTTTGTTTTTTATTCTTCGAAATCCTATCATTTTTACTCGGTTAAAATTGCTGGTTGATTTTTTATTTTTTTATTTAATTTTATACAAGCTATGGTTGGGGAGGTGGGAATTTCAACAAAAGGACCAAATATCAACGTTGTAGGTGAAAACGAAGAAACAAACAATCTCAAATTAAGAATACAAGAGATTAACGTGGTTCGGCGTAAGGTATGTGTTCACGGGTGAAAGATGGTGAGAAATTTCACTAGACAAACGAATCACCACCCAAATTCTATAAATTACAAACCCTAAATCAAACGAGTAGAGAACCCAAAACAAATTGAGAAGAGTCTCCTGTATTGCTCTTTAATTCACAAACTCACAAATTGATTCTTACCAAAATACTAAACAAAAGGGCCATGAATTTGCCAGAGTCTCAAGACTTTAAATGGTGACCTCCACCAAAAATCCAGTTAGAGAAAACTCTCTAAATCAATGGTCAATGGTGACGGCACACAAAATAAACCAATCCTAAGGTTCTACTAATGGTGCATAGGACTTAGATTACAATGAGAATCTTAATCCTAATTAGAAGTAAATCAAAATCCCAATAAAATAGGTAATTAACAAAATCCCTCTACCAAAGAAGGGATCCAACCAAGAAGTCAAATTCAAACTCAAATAGGGTACCAAAACGAAATAGGTAACACAAACCTTTATACATCATCATAGTTTTGAGCCGTAAATTACAACAGTGAAAACCACAGTTAGGACTTCATGTGCAGGGGTAACTTCTCTTACAATCCACTTTCAAATTGTTTGTTCACTTTTACTCTTAGCAAAACTCATAAACTTAGAAGTTTAAATTTCTATCTTTGTACTTTTCCTTTTGTCCTCATAGTTTGAATATTTTTCGTAGTTTTTCTTTGGGTAAATCTTAGTTTACTACTATCAAGTTTTATGGTTTTTAACATTTGGTACATAAAATTTTTTTCGTCCCAGAGTTATACCTAAAATGTTAATTTTGGGACAGTCTCATATATCTGTTAGTCAAACTATTAACTCTGCTGTTAACTGATGATGTGGCATGCACGTAGACAATGATTGGGCGCCACGTGTCAATATAAGGCCCACATAAATATTAAAAAAGTAAAAAAGTAAAAAAGTAAAAATAAAAAAAATAAAATCTGGGCTCCCGATCCCTCCCTTAGACCATCTCCAACCCTTGGGCTAAAAGCCAAATTTTTTAGCCCGGAAAATTTGGCTTTTAGCCTAGAAACATATTTTCTGCTCCAACCCTTATGCCCTAAAATTTTAGCCCGGAATTATTAAAGAATGAACTTAGGCTAATTTTTTTCTTAAATCAATTTAAAAAAAAAATATGTAGATTATTGTAAATTAATTTTATGAACATTTTAATCTAAAAAAATTTAAATTCCGATAAACATTTGGCATTTAGCCCGGGGGAAAAGCTGGGGGGTATTTGGCCCAGAAATAACATTTGGCATTTAGCCTAAAATTTTAACATGGGTTGGAGAGTGTGGGGGGGTAATTTAGCTTTTAGCCCAGGTTTGGAGATGGTCTTATTCTCCCTCCCTTCTCTTCCCTGCACCCATCGTCCCTGCAAACCCACCCATTCCCTCCCATTCTTAGCTCGAGAGACCACACAACAAACAAGCCCACCTCTCCAATTCTTAGCTCGGCTTTCCCTCTCTAGGATTTGAGAGAGACAGAGAGAGAGATTATGAAGCTCTCGGTTTTGCACCAGAGCTGCCTCACCCGACGGAGCAACACCTTTAGGGGATCGCGCGCCGTTGGTCTCCACATCAAACGGCAAGTTGTCGGCGACGATGTTTTGGCTACTACTCCACGGCCTTATCAGCCTCTTCCTCGGCTTCTGCTTCTCTCGCCTCGTCTTCTTCTTCCTCTTCTCCACCTCATTTTCGAAACTCTATCCGGCGCCGTTTCGAACGGTCGCTGATCTCACCGTCAGTAACCTAGAGCTCCCCGCGAACCCGATCGTGAATTAGGTTTAATTGCGTGCAAGCTTCCTTTAGGGATTATTGTGTAAAATTTCATTGAAAAATGTCCACTGTGAGAAATTAGAAGGAATTATGGTTAGATCTGGTTGTTGGTCTAATACGAATATTGATTTGGGCTAATTGTTTGATTTGAACAGGAAGTCAGCTTAAAACAAACGAAAAAGCCATGTTAATCTAGGTAATTACTTCAACTAATTGGTTATGATTGCGTCAGGTTAATTCATAAAATCATTTATTAAGTCTTTCGATTTTACTTATGATGAGTTTGGAATAGATACTTTCTTTCTTATTTGTTTGATTGGAATGTGATTGGAAGTGGGCAGATGGGTGGAAGAGGAGTGGGTAGATGGGTGGGTGTGCGGGGAGGGTGAGTGTAGAGGAGAGAAGGGAGGGATAAGGAGTGGAATGGGTGGGTTTGCAGGGAGGATGTGATATGATCTGTAAGTAGTGATTAGCTTAATCACTATTAAGGGTTTAATTCTTGGGATTATTAGGCTTATTCCTGTTTTAATGTAGTTTGTTATAATTGTCCAGCTGGCATGATAAGTTGTAACTTGTATAAGAGCACTAGCTCTCAGTATTGTGAAGAGATCAGAATTTACAACAAAGAAATTAAATACAAAAATATTTGGAGCTCTGCTCCTTCATCTCTCATTCCCTCTACTTCCATAGCTTTCTTGTGCTACTTGCAGGTTGATTAAGGGAATTGAGAATTGGATCGTATCAATGGTATCATCCTGCTCGACTCCTGGTTTCCCTCCTGTGCACGACCACCCGACCCGTCTTTCTACCATGGATGCACGCCTCTCAGCTGCACTCGACTTTCTTGTAGCTTCGATGCGTGCTGACCTCCGTGCAATTCGGGATTCTGACTTCGCTTTCTGCAAGGCTGTGGAGTCTGCCGTCGCACCAATCCGCTGTCACCTTGCTCTGTTACGCCATGACTTGGCTCTAGGTGCTGGGGAAGGTTCCGGTCCAGCCTCGATGTCTTTCGATGATGTTGAAATTCCTGATCTCGGTCACCAGAAATTCCACGACTTGGGATACAAGACAGAGAAGGCAGCCCACATCGAATTCCCTCGAAAATCCAAGTCCATTCCATTCCTTCGTTACTTTTATCATCTCCGTTGTTGCAAGCAATGGCAAATTCGCTCGTCCAACCGTCACACTTAAATGATTTTGTATCAGCCACAGTTCCATGGTGGAATGTTGAGAAAACCAGGCCCATTGTGATGGTGACCACAACGCCGCTGCTATTTTCGATTTCAGCAATCTTTAGCACTAAATCAGCCCACGCTCACAGTCACAAACCCGTTTTGAGCACCACGGAAGCTACAATAGTGGCGCATGTTCTGGGTTTCCCTTTCAAGAACGTAGGAGCTACTAAATCTGTAGGTCTCTCTCATACAAACACCATGAAACGTCGCCATGAGGTATTGCGATCTTTGATTTACAATTTGTCACACGGGAAGGTCAAATGGCATTGGATTTTGAATAGTCTACTTGCATGTTATACTGATGGAAATGTGGGCATGAATGATGTTTATTTGAATAAGATTCATAGGTGGGTCGGCCTGTATGAGGTTGGCAAGTTTGTGATGGTTTTTAATGCAGAGAAAGTGCTTGATGAAATAGCTAAGAGACAAAGCGAGGACGCTGCAGGAAACCTCTTCGATCGAATGACCCCTCTTTTTCATAACATGGTTATATGCTCTCAATTCTGCATAAATATAGGTGAATTTTGGAATGGATGGGATCCGGGAGGGGGATTAGCTAAAATTCTAGGCGTGATGCTCTGTTCCAAGAACCACGAGAACCATGGTGACAAGTACCCTCAGTTTTTTAAAACACAGCTACACTTCATTAATCATCCAATGCATTTTACTTGTTTACTACAAGTGATGCAATATGAGAAATCTACTGCTACATGTGAAAGTGTTTTTAATATTTCGGGTGATCGCAACTCCTTTATTGATGCCGGCAATGCGGGGAAACTGGATAAGGTGCTTAATGTGGTAGATTCAATGCTGGATGATGATGGGGTTGAATTCTTTACCAATCCAAATAAGAAGACTATGTTGTTTCTTAATTTAACTGATCTGAAGGTCTTAGTCACTGACAACATCCAAGAGTACGTCAAGTCTGGAAAACATGTGTTGCTGGAATTCTATGCTCCTTGGTGTGGACATTGCAAGAAGTTTCCAATTTTGCATGAAGTTGTTGTCTCAGATGAAAAGGATTCTGATGTCGTTATTGCAAAATTACGAGCCACGGTAAATGGTGTGCCAAGTGACTTCGATGTCAAATATTTCTAGCAGCCTCAACACCTGCAGGACCAGATGCTTGCTCACTTGTGTCTGAAGTTTCGAAAAGATTGGGAAGAATTGCAGCAACTAGAACCCCTTGATTCCCTTCCTAAAACCATCTGCTCGAGTATTTCACATTATCTGTTTTACTCGCTTATAAATGTGGTCTACTTAATTCATGGGGTTTCGAATGACTTGCTTTTTCCGTTGGTCTCTGAGATGAAAGCTATAGGAATTACTTCTTTTGCAAAAGCACCAATGGAATTTCTTAGTCCTGTTGAACTTCAACTAAGAATGGCGTGTATTCTTTTTTATTCATGGGTTGCACTTTTTATGATGGATTAGGCTATCCATGATAGAATCAACGGCATAATCACCTCCATGAATGCACAGATCCCTTACTTCAAGAAAATCTTTTCCATGATTACCAACCATCTAACAAGTTTTTTGAATTTAAAGATTGAGGCCAATCTCCCTTTGAAGAAGGATGGAACAACAACTGCTTCAATCTTAATTCTCTTGTTGGATGGAATGCATTTCAAGAAGTACTTGGAATTCCTTCAGAATTTGGAAGAAATTATAGAGGCATTGGATGGACTAAAGGTTGCGGGAGTTGACCTTGGAGTTGAGATCCCACTTGAACAGATTCCAACTGTCCCAGAGGAAATAACCGATGTATACAGGCAGCTTAACAAGCTAGTTACTGTAGCTTATCAGTTTCTCGAATTAGTGATAGAATACCCAACTCCAACCCTTGGTAAGGTTGCAGATGTTTCTGAAGCTGTTCGACAATATGTATTCAATATTGTCAGAAGTATTTCCCTTGTTGAATCCTTATTTGATGCCTTCAGCCAACAATGGTTTAGTGTGAAGCTTATATATGCATTCTGTTGCTTGTTAATTCTTATCCTTGGAATTGTTGGGATGCACTATGTGGTCAATTTGGTGGGAGGCTCAAAAGAACCTATAAAATCGAGGGCTGCCATTGAGTCCATTGCTTTAGTGTTGGCATATTTCACTAACAAAAGAATTATTACTTTATTGCTTTACTATGGTGGAAGAATTGGTTACGGAAAAGAAAAACGTGAAAGGCTGCTGGGCAAATGGGAAGTTGTGGATGTCAATTATTGTTGCAGGTGTGCTTTATATTTGGTGGACTCCGAAAAGATATATGGCAAACATCACTATAATACTAAGAACTTTCATATGGAAGGCTCGAGCACGGTGTCTTCTAGGAAGCCTGTGATCTTTGCTGACGAGACCTGTGCCACCCAGACTGCTGCACTGGGAAATGCTAATTTTGCACCTGTCTTTGTTCAAGGATTTTTGACTTCTGTGCGCAATCGGTATCAACTGCTTATATGGGCTGTAGTGCATACTGCTGATGAGGGTTTGGAGTCCATAACTGACACAGAGACTGAATTACAGCTGAAGGAGTTAGCTGAGTGTGCCTTTTATGGTACAAATTCTAATCAGCCAGTTCAAATCATGAAAGTGATGGTTCTGCGATTGACTTGCTTGTCAATTTTGTTGGACTCTGGAGACACACGATTTTGTCAAATTCGAAGTGCAGCAACAGTCACTACCCCATTGGACCATTGCAGAAATAAAACAAGTTGTTCTTTCTTTAACCTTAACTCCGCCTATGTAATTTTACATTGCCGGTCCCAAGCCCGGATAAAGGAGGAGGGGGAGGGCGTCAGGTAGTCGACAGCCGGCACTCCATGATCACGTCGAATCCTTATGAAAATGAATCCAGAACAAAATCGCGCTAAAGCTAGGGCGTCACCCGTAAGTGGCGCGCTGTGTGGCCCGAGCACAGTGATAAGTGAGCAAGGGTCGCTGTATCTCCATCGGCACCCGGATGCAGTGTTAAATGAGCAAGGGGGCCGTAGAAACTTCTTTTCGAACGACTCCACTCAAAGTTGTTTGGGAGCATATGCTCCTATCAACTTTACACGGGACACACAAAAGAAGTACTTTGATCCTATTAGACGGGGGAGGGTGAAGAAGCTAGGACAGAAGGGTAGAGTTCAAGAGAGCAAAATGCGTTTAGGAACGTGGAATATAGGAACCTTAACGGGAAAATCTATGGAAGTAGTGGAAGTTATGGTGAGGAGAAGGATAAATATTATGTGCCTACAAGAAACTAAGTGGGTTGGTAGTAAGGCAAAGGATCTAGAAAACTCAGGGTTTAAACTTTGGTATTCGGGCACAAATAGAACGAGAAACGGTGTTGGCATCATCGTGGACAAGACCTTGACACAAGATGTTGTAGATGTCAAGAGGGTAGGAGATAGAATCATGGCAATCAAGATTGTAATAGGACAAGAACTTATCAATGTGATTAGTGCGTACGCACCTCAAGTAGGGTTGGATACGAGTTCGAAGGAGAAATTTTGGGAAGACCTTGGAGACTTGGTGCAAGGAATTGCTCAGACGGAGAAGTTATTTATAGGAGGAGATCTAAATGGACACGTGGGCAAGGAGACAGGCAACTATGGAGGTTTTCATGGTGGCCATGGTTTTGGGGAGAGAAACGAGGATGGGGAAGCTATCTTGGATTTTGCAATGGCATATGATCTCTTCTTAGCCAACACCTTCTTTAAGAAGAGAGAAGAACATGTGATCACCTACAAGAGTGGGTCGTCAAAAACACAAATAGATTTTCTTCTAATGAGGAAAGGGGATCGTATAACTTGTAAGGATTGCAAAGTTATACCAGGAGAGAGCGTGGCTAATCAACATCGCTTGTTGGTGATGGATGTACATATCAAAAGAGGGAGACAAAAGAACAAGACTTGGAAGTGCCCAAGGACTAGATGGTGGAATCTAAAAGAAGAAAAACAAGCCATATTCAAAGAGAAGGTAATCACCCAATGTGTGTGGGATAGAGAGGGGGAAGCTAGCCAAATGTGGGATTCCATGGCTAGTTGTATCCGAAAAGTAGCAAAAGAGGTAATAGGAGAGTCCAAGGGCTTTGCCCCACACCAAAAGGAATCTTGGTGGTGGAATGAGGAGGTACAAACAAAGGTGAAGGCTAAGAAGGAATGTTGTAAAGCCTTATACAAGGAGAGGACCGATGAAAATGGTGAAAGGTATAGAAAAGCGAAGCAAGAGGCGAAGAAAGCGGTCAGAGAAGCTAAGTTAGCGGCTTACGACGATATGTATAAACGACTAGATACCAAAGAAGGAGAGTTGGATATCTATAAACTAGCTAGAGCAAGGGAAAAGAAGACAAGGGACCTAAACCAAGTGAGGTGCATCAAGGATGAGGATGGAAAGGTTCTTGCTACAGAGAACGCGGTTAAAGACAGATGGAGAGGTTATTTTCATAATCTTTTCAATGAAGGACATGAAAGGAGTGCTTCTTTAGGGGAGTTGAGTAACTCAGAAGAGTGTAGAAACTACTCTTTTTATCGTCGAATCCGGAAGGAAGAAGTGGTTGTAGCTTTGAAAAAGATGAAGCATAGAAAAGCAATAGGCCCAGACGATATACCAATCGAAGTGTGGAAAGTTTTGGGAGAGACAGGTATAACATGGCTCACTGACCTTTTCAATAGGATTTTGAAAACGAAGAAGATGCCAAATGAGTGGCGAACGAGCACTTTGGTGCCTATCTACAAGAATAAGGGCGACGTACAAAATTGCATGAACTATAGGGGTATTAAGTTAATGAGTCATACGATGAAGCTCTGGGAGAGAGTCATTGAGTATAGATTGAGGCAAGAGACACGGGTTTCGGACAACCAATTCGGGTTCATGCCAGGGCGCTCAACCATGGAGGCAATCTATCTCTTACGAAGATTGATGGAAAGATATAGAGATGGGAAAAAGGATTTACACATGGTCTTTATAGATTTGGAAAAAGCGTATGATAGGGTCCCAAGAGACATTCTTTGGAGGATCTTAGAGAAGAAAGGAGTACGAGTAGCATATATCCAAGCTATAAAGGATATGTATGAAGGAGCAAAGACTGCCGTAAGAACTCATGAAGGACAAACCGAAAGCTTTCCCATAACTGTAGGATTACATCAAGGCTCATCCTTAAGTCCTTACCTTTTTGCGTTGGTAATGGATGAGTTAACAGGACATATTCAAGATGATATTCCTTGGTGTATGCTTTTCGCAGACGATATAGTGTTGATAGATGAAACTCAGGAAGGGGTAAATGCAAAGCTTAACCTTTGGAGAGAAGTGTTGGAATCTAAAGGTCTTCGCCTAAGCCGATCAAAGACAGAATATATGGAGTGCAAGTTCAGTGCAGATGGAGGCCAAAACGAGTTAGGGGTGAGGATCGGAGATCAAGAAATACCAAAGAGCGACCGTTTTCGTTACCTAGGATCTATCTTGCAAAAGAACGGAGAATTAGATGGAGATCTCAACCATAGAATACAAGCTGGATGGATGAAGTGGAAGAGTGCATCTGGCGTGTTGTGTGACCGCCGTATGCCACTGAAGCTCAAGGGAAAATTTTATAGGACGGCAATAAGGCCGGCGATGCTGTATGGCACAGAATGTTGGGCGGTGAAGCATCAACACGTACACAAAATGGGTGTAGCGGAGATGAGGATGCTTCGTTGGATGTGTGGGCACACGAGAAAGGATAAGATTAGGAATGAGGATATCCGGGGTAAAGTAGGAGTAGCCGAAATTGAAGGAAAGATGAGAGAAAATCGGTTACGGTGGTTTGGACATGTGCAAAGAAGGCATACTGATGCTCCGATTAGAAGATGCGACTATGGGACAGAGGTTCAGGGCCGAAGGGGTAGAGGAAGACCTAGGAAAACTTTGGAAGAGACTTTAAGAAAAGACTTAGAGTACTTGGATCTAACGAAGGACATGACACAGGACCGAGCACAATGGCGTTCTAAGATTCATATAGCCGATCCCACTCAGTGACTTGGATTTTCCAAGTCTCCAACCGAGAAGTTTTCCTCACTCGAAAAATTAAGGGAACACTACCCCAACCTACATGCTCCACTCAGAAAGCTTCAACATACAAGCTTCAACAAAAGAAAATTCAAAGAACTTAGCGAAGAAGGCTTTGGTGTATTTAACACAATACGTTGAAATGAAGGAAAACTTATTTATTGATATCCCCGATAAGCTACAAATATGTACATATACATGAGTCAAAATAAACAAACAAGATGGAGCCTTCACAAAGGTTGCTTAGGAGAAGTCTCAGCAGTCGGTAGAGCCCCAGAAAGAGAAGGCATCGGAGGGGGATCATTCGGAGCCTCAGTACTGGACAGAACCCTAGAAGGAGGAGGCATCAGAGGTTGATCATTTGGAGCTTCATTACGCGGTACAGCCCCAGAAGACGAAGGCAATAAATGCCTTTGGAACAAACCCACAAATCTCTGATGATCAAGTAAAACCTGACCATCAGTTTCCTTCATCTGGTCAAGCTTCCTCTTCATGTTTGTAGCATAGTCATGTGCGAGCCGGTGCAACTGTTTATTCTCATGCTTGAGCCCTCTAATCTCCTGTTTGAGACTCATCACTTCGGCCGCCAATGATTCAACTTGGCGGGTTCGAGCAAATAGGCGTTGGGCCATATTAGACACAGAACCTGCACACTGAACACTGAGAGCCAGTGAATCCTTAACAGCTAACTCATCAGACCGTTTGGAAAGTAGTCTGTTATCTTTGGGAGTGAGAAGGTTCCTGGCCACCACCGCAGCGGTCATATCATTCTTCATCACGGAATCCCCAACGGTAAGAGGACCAGTAGGGGAGACGAAGGATGGGCGCCATATGTTGTCTGGAGAAGGCGGGGCTGCCTCTTCAACAAGGTTCAAGTCAAAACGACGGTCGGAGGGGCCAGACATTTTCAAAGGTATTGAAGAGAGAAAGAGGTCGGACAAATCAAGATCTTAGAAGTGCAAGAATGGAGCTTCTACTGGTGGAGATTCAAGTGTGCTTTGGAACTTAATGCCAGCCCCTATAAAAAGCTGCACTCGACGGAGCTTCAGACATCGAAGAGGCGCCTGCTCAGAAATCGAAGAGGCGTTTGTTTTCTCAAAAGCTGGGCTGCTTAGAGACCACGAGGGTTGATCTCATAAATCGAAGAGGTGTTTGCTTTCTCAAAAGTTGGGCTGCTCAAAGACCACGAAAGCCGATCTCAGAAATCGAAGAGGCGCTCGCTTCCTCAAAAGCTGGGCTCCTCAGAGACCACGAGGGCCGATCTCAGAAATCGAAGAGGCACCTACTTTTCCAGCCTTGTTAGCATCTGTCACACGCACACTCAGCTTTGCGGAAATTATGGGCATTCTGTCGAAGACTTCTGGGGAAGTAGAAAACACATGAATCTTACTGTCCAATCACCCACTTCCCACACGCAGCAATAGCTCATGGGTACCACAGATAACTTTGCCAAAGTCCTCTGCCAAAGTTGAGCACATGAAGCTTGCAGCTCCCACTACATCGCTCTGACCAAGAAGGGTAAAAGAATAGCAAAGAAACAGCACTAACAAAGTTTAGACCCATAAATTTTGAAGGTCTAGCTACCATATTATTACCCACAAGGGTAAAGGAACAATACCACTGTTGGATAATTGGAAAGTCCCTGTGTGTCAACCTCTGTGCCTCGTGGCAAGGTAGACTAGCAAACATGC